CTGTGATTGCCTGTCAGTTGAGTTGTGTACTACTCTGGTATCTTGTTTTTTTTTCTTTTCTTGGAGTGTGCCTTACACCAGATGCCTTACCAGAAATTTGTAAGATACAAATACACAAATAATTGGAGAAGGTTTCAGATTTCCATTGGAATTATAAACCTGAAAAGATATTTTTTCTGAATTAACATTGATATATCGACATGAAAATATACTGTATTGACTTTTAAACATAGCATTTTTAAATAAGTGACCAACTTTTTGTGTTCAGTTGCCTCAGTCCGTATTTCGGGTAACTGGGAAGCTAAGAACAACAAGATTAAAACTTCATTTTAGTTTCATCAAGAGCCTTTGACTACAGGCTTTTTTAATGAATTAAAGCTTTGACACATTCTTTTAAACCATTTTTCTGATATTCCCATTGAAACTTCACCACAGGTAACTTTTTTTCCCCCTTAATAGCTATTGGTGATATGGTTTTTAGCACTTTTGCCTCACAGCAAGAGGGTTGATTATCTGGAAATCTGTCCTGGGCGTATCCGACATATTGCCAAATTAAATTTGGGGTATTTACTTTCAGCATTAGGCTCAAAGCTGTTTTACTGGTTATTGAAATTGACCAACTTCATCCAAAACCCAAGTCACCACAGTCAGATTAACTCTTTCCTTGTTAGGGGCAATGAGTATGATGTGAAATTTAAAATAAATAAATAGATTTAGTCCTTTTCCCCAAAGAACTGTGTAAAAAAAACAAAATTTTTCATAAGGTTGTCTTCATTACAACAAAAAGTTTGATCAACCCAAATGTTTACTTGATATGCAAATTTGGAGGAGGAATACACACATCTAGACACACAAAATGACCTTTTTTTCCAGTTTCAGTCACTTGAAACTTGTCACCTGCTTAGCTGAAATGAATCTGATCACTTTTATTGCACGTTTTATCATAAGAAAAATGGGCGCCCCGCGCAAAAAGTACATGTGGTTGACTCAGGTGTGCCTGTGTGACTGTTCCCTCGCATCAAAAGTGTCTGTTTATTCGGCAACGCAGACACCCGTATACGTACAGTGATTAAGTGATTCGCTTTTCCCCGTCCTTTCATCTGTTTTAGCCTCGTCTGCTTTGTTCCTCTTTCTCAATTAGAGCAGTGTTCTCCCTCGGAGAGCGCCTAACCCGCTCCCCACCCTCCCCAGCAGCATCCCCATTAGAGCCATGCACCCTGACACCTCCCCGCTACCTTTTTAAAAGAATACAATTAAAAACTGCGAGGGGATCAAAAAGACGCCAGGAGCCTGATGAGGACGATGTTTTCAGAGAAATGCAGATTTGTGTTATTGATGGGCCATCTCATTTTCAAAAACCATTATGGGACAAGGAGTAATCAGTTGAGCTGTATCAGCATTTTTAGTGTTCGACAAGCAGCAACATAGCATCCAGACACACCCGATCACAAGCATTTATATACAAAGAATGCCTCTTTTTTAAATAATATGCTTTAAAAGAGGGTTTAAGTTTGTCACTCACCATGACAGTTCATGATTTCTATTATAGTTTTATAGATTGGAGAACAGGGTTAGATTTCATACAGAACGTTACACAATTGTCAGTAACATGTTACATATATATTTCAGTAAAGACAATCAAATGAGCTTCAAATAATTGTTAATTTCCAAATTTCTAAGACAGTTCATTTCAATCCAGTTGGAGAAATAGGAACCACAGAAGAAACACAAGTCTGGGATCAAAGTAGCCAAACTAACTACTTAAACCATTCATTTTTGGTGTGAATCTGAGCAAATGTGTCCATGAATTATTTTTTAGGTGGATATGAGGCTTTGTGGGGTTTTCAATTAGAATATTTTCCCAGGAATTACTGTCAAAGTCAAATATCAGCTTTGATTTAACTTTGTGTGTATGAGTACTGTAGAAATAAGCCACATGTTGACCAAGATTATTGCAATAAAATAATGAAAACTGTCAAAAAAAGCTTGATCATGAAAGACAAATACGGGTAAATGAAATTAAAACAAAAATAAATGGTTTTGATGCCGTCTTGACTAACCCATGTTTGGAGTTTTCATTTAATCTGAGTGGCTGCAAAGTCCTGATCACAGCCCATGTCAACAGATTAGTTCTTCATTGTGCATATTAAAAGAGAACATGGTCTCAGGGTCTTCTTTTAAGGGCAAATGTGAAAGATACTGGCTCAAATAAAGGCGGAAATTAAAAAGGAAAAATCATTTTGCATTTCAAGTCTGTGAAAAGTAATAAACATTGATATTCTGATAGGATGAATGGGATGATTCTGACTAATCTAAATTCTAAAAAAAATCAATTTACTGTAAATGCACACTGCCAGTTTACTGTAGAATTAAGCTTATGAGTATGTAGTAAGAGGAAACAAGTAGAAAAGTTATTTAAAATCTTACTTTTTTCCTTTCCTTTCCTCCTTTCCTTATTTCCTAGTGATACCATACCAGGTACAGCCTATTAATTAGATAATTAGTTATATTAGTGGCATAAAGATTCTTTTTTTTCTAAATGGTAGACTGAGATAGATTCCCAGTTTGCCTTTCTTTTCTTTTTTTTAGACTGTATTTTCTTATCTGAGCAGGGAAGCAGAGGGAAGTTATCCCGTTTTTATCTCTGGGCTCCTTTATGGAATCCTGTTGGAGAGACTTGTCGTGGATAGTTGCAAACAGATGAAAGTGGCCTCTCCATCTTCCTTCTATCCTCCCTGTTCCAAAGATGCGTGTGAGTGTGTGTGTGTGTGTGTGTGTACTGTCCCCCACGTTTGTGTGTGTGTGTGACAGAGAGAGAGAGCTTTTCTGTTTCACCTTCTTCTTCTTCGTCTTCTTAATTAACTGTATGGGAATAATTTTACTGGACTTTTGTGTTGTTTTACTCAAAGGACATTGTTGTTACCTTGGTACCAATTTTCTCATTTTTTTGTTATTTTCTGGGCACATATTCATTATCTTTTCACCCCCCCACAAAAAAAATAAAAATAAATAAAAAATGCTGGAAGCTCCATAATGCGGACTGTTTTTTTTGTTGTTTTTTTTCACAAATATCGAAATAATAGTCAATTCTTTTTTTAATTCTTCTAAAAAATAAACTTAAACAAAGCGTCCTTTCTATATACAAACTTCTATTTTCCCTTAATCTAAAGAACCCCCCCTCCCCCCCCCTTACCTTACCTTAAGGACCTAATATATTTCCCAGGCGCCCGCAGACATGTCCGCTATGTTTAATGTATAAATCAGCACATAGAAACACAGACGATACATATGCATGGACTCAATTAAAAGTATTACAGAGGAGAGCATTTGCATAAGGATTTAGGAGCTTAACATCATATTTGCGCTCTAAAACTTCACAATAGCCTAAACGCATGCTTTTCCTCTAATGGAGGGGGGAACAGGTTGTTCTGATACACACACACGCACGCACGCGCGCACACACACACACACACACACACATATATATATATACACATTACATACATATATATATACATACACATACATGTACATATATATACACATATATATACATATATACACATTACAAACATATATATATATATATATATATATATATATATATATATATATATACATACACATACATGTACATACATACATATATATATAGAATAAAAAAAATAAAAATAAATAAATATATATATATAAAAAAATTCTTTTTAAATCACTTCCTTCACCGTCTTTTTTCCAATGATCAAACCTATCTTCCGGTCCTCTAACACGTCTTCTGATGACGAAGTCAGCCCCCATCTCCTCCCTCCCCCCTTCCCCCCCTCCCAATTAAGAGCAGAGAGCTAATTAGAAGGCACGGATCCTGGATCAGTTCAGTTCCTCAGCCGCGGCTCCCGCTGCTCTCACACCAAAAAAAGCGCTCCATCCCAGAAGTGGAAATACAGGAGCCAAACCGCTGGGATTCCACATGATATCCAGTCACGCTGAGAAGTTCTGGGGATGGAGAATCCTGAACACACAGCTCAATGGAGGACTCGAATATTTATAGGCACGAGGACTGTTTGGGAAGTGTAGTTATGTAGTTGGCCATATTACCTAGGACGTTTATATCGCTTAATACATAAGCAATTGTTTTAAGACATAGTTTCTTAATGACAATAAAGATGTGTTATCTATTTTAAACTTGATCTGTCCCGTCAGGACTTTGATGAAAACTCTGTATTTTTTATTAAATTTTTAATTAGAAAACATTTTCTCTTATTCGTTCCAACTAAAACTTTCCAAAAAAGGGAATTTTAGACCCAGACAAACATTTACAACTTTGCAATCTTAGCAGTTGGTAAAAAAAAAAAGAGGAATATGCGAAATTTCTCTTTGTTTTAATAATTATTTTGCTTTTAAATTGAATGACCCTTTATAATAAATCATAAACAATGATAAAGTTTTAAATGTAAACATTTCAAAATGAGAAAAATTACGTTTTTGTAATTTACAGGTTGTGCACAGAGCCTTCTGACGATGTGTGTGTGTGTCTGTGTGTGTGTTAATGTGTATGTGTGTATGTGTTTGTGTGTGCGTGTGTGTGTAAGGGGGGTGTAGTTGCACGGTGTGTGCTGCTGTGTAACCTCTCCTCGTTACTTGAGTTAAGATCCCCGCAGACTTTCGCAGAGCGCACAAACACACGCGCGCACGCGGGCAATACACGCATACGTAAACAACTCCAACACCTCGGATTACTCTCTCCCCCCTTATGTTCCGCGTCCTCTTCCATTTCGGAAGAGGTTTTGGATGGAGGTGGGGGGGCGCGCGTAGCGGGCGCAAAACGGACTGCTTTCTCCAAAAGCGCACGGTAAAAGAATAAAAAAAAGAAAAAAAAAGGAAAAGTCCAGCCAAATATTTCCGTGACGGCACGACAGCCAATGGAAATAAACGATGCCTCGTGACGCAATAGGGCCCCGTAGATAAGGAGCGGACAATCCAACCGGGACCTGAAAAGGCTGGACCGGCGGGTTTTTGGGGGTCCAGCGACCAGTCTCCTTTCATCCGTCAACGTAAAGGAGAACAACTCCTCCTCTTCTGCTGTTACGCGCACGCATGCAGCCTCTTCAGGCAAAAGACAAAACATTAACTTAACAGACTAGGCGGACGGGAAACAAGTCAGTCTCAGACGAACCGGCAGGATTTTATAAAGCAAAGGCTGTGTTTTTTCTTATTTTTTTCTTTTTTATGAAGCTTTTCCGATTATTTTTCTTTTCCTCCACCAACTAAAAGTAGTTTGCACGACATATTTCATCTATAAGCATCAACTTGGACTGTTGAACCTGGAAAAGGGGAAAGGCGCATTTCTCACCGGCCTGTGCGTAAAAATCTATTTTTTTTGTTTTTTTTTCGGTGATCCAACAAGACGGCCGCCGTCCCGTTTCTGATGCTGCAAACCGCGCACTTCTGCAAAACGGAGGATTTTCTCAATGCTTTGCAGACTGTCGAATCCCTAAATTCCGCTCCCCGGGAGAAGGAGGCTGCCCGGCCGAGACCCGTGCAACGGGGGCTTCCATAGTTTGGTATGTCAGTTTCCCGTACATGGAAATAATTCAAGACAGACACATCAATTCGGTGGCAACGAAAATAAAAAAACAAAAACAAATCCTACCTGAGAGAAAAAATAGATCCAGGGAAGAAAAAGCAATCTATTAATGAATTAGTCATCGCTTATTAATAATGAGAGCTGCAGAGATTCGAATGACGGTTTCCATTGGCAGATGAAACGTAGTGTGGAGAGCACGTGTCCAGTTTTTTCCTCATATTTTTCCCTCTATGATCTGGATTTCTCACTTGTCATCGCAAGAAAAAGGAACCCCCCCCCCCCCCCCAAAAAAAAAAAAAAAGAAAAATTGAGATTCTCCGGTGCCATTGTCGCGCGGGGCTTTGCTTCTGATGGACATCTTGGCTTGCAGATCCGAAGAGAACAGTTATAATATCCTCCCTTCTGCAGCGACGATGCTCTTCCACGGCCTCCCCGGAGGCGACGTGCACGGCGTGGTGGAGGAAATGGACCGGAGAGGCAAAGGCGAGTCAGCTGCCATCAGCTCGGCCATCGATATGGGAGAATCCGAAACGGTGAGCGCCACGCGAAAAATGTTTTGGCCCCTTTCTGTGAGGAGTGAGTCGGTGCAGGCGAGCCATGGCAGCCTGCTATAGAACATTAGAACATGTGTCAGCTCAGGCTTCAAGTACTTTTGTTTTGCAAAAGTATCTACCTGGAGATTTCACCTTATTTAAGTTGTTTATTTTTTTGTTTTCGAAAAAACATTGAAACTTTCCTCGACACCACTTTAATGTCAAACTTAGTTTAGTTTCAGCAAAGCATCCATTATAAAGATACTGTTTCTTAATTGTTTATAAAAACATCATGCACGTAACATTACATTTCAATTCATTTTTTTTTTTAGAAAAATAATCAATTTTCTAATTTAAACGACTTTTCTGGGGCCTTAAAAATAAAAATGTCTGATGTATAATTTGAAAGACGTCTTTTAATATAACTAGAGCTTTTTTGTGTACATGAAAAACAATAGAAAATATGTTAAAAGATCATAATTTAAATGATTATTTTTTGTTTTGTTTTTGCTCCTTTTTACTCAATTTTGCCTAAACAGTAACTAGGTCACTTTCCACTAAATTTCTGAACCCTGTCAGAGTATATAAACGTAGCAGCTCTGGAAATAGAAAAATAAATAGAAATAGAATTTTAAAAAGACAGGGACATTTACCAGGAAGTGGTTCCTTACAGGCTAAATATTAGTGAGGTGCGTGTGGGCTTTGTTTGTGTAGCAAACAGTCATCCTCAGCCCTCATTACGCTCCAGATTTCTTCCTAAAGTCTGCGTCCACTCAGCTGGTGTGAATTCTTTCCTGGAATCTTGACACTGAAGACGGGAGTTGATGTCGTTTCACTTAGGCCAGTCTGTGGCCACGCACAAAGCACGAGCCCTGGCTGCTATACTTTAAGGAAAAATGACAATTGTGTCTTTAATCGTGCTGAGTTTGCCCATTTGCAACATAACAGACCGCGCGTAAACTTCCGGGTCTCTCTTCCCCCTACCTGCATAATTCATATTATCCATTGTAACTCCTCTAAGTAGGCCATCATTTACAAACCGTATTCATTTAAATAATTCCAACTGACCACGCTTATAATAAGATCACATTGGTATAAATGCGTTGTAGCAATGTCCATACTTTGGAAATATTTTATTATGATGCGTAATGCGTAATGCGTTTGTTAAAACCAAGTTTTGCCATGAGGGTAGCCGTGATCCTTTACAGAGAGGTTCCAGGCTGTCAGAAGCTCAGATTTGTCCAGAAACTGTGATTTTTTCTCTTCCTTCTGTATTACACAGCGTTTAATCTCTCCTCTTTTCCGTTAACTCGATAATGAAACGTTTTTAAAGACGCTATTCTGATGTCAATGGGGCTTTTTTTTACCCCAATAATCAACGTGTCCCCCCTTTTGCTTTCTGTCCCACCATCCCACCCCACCCCACCAACCACCCCCCTCCACCCCCTATGGCTCACAGTCCATGCCGTGTATGGCCAACGAGCGCGTGGCCCTGTGCGCGGGCTGCGGCCGGAAGATCGCTGACCGCTACTACCTGCTGGCCGTGGACAAGCAGTGGCACATGCGCTGCCTCAAGTGCTGCGAGTGCAAGCTCAACCTGGAGTCCGAGCTCACGTGCTTCAGCAAGGACGGCAGCATCTACTGCAAGGAGGACTACTACAGGTATACAGGCGCGCGAAGGGGCCTGATAGCCCGGATGGATATTTGATTTATTTTCTTCTTCCCCTCAAAACAACAACACCTTTCCTGATACTAAATTCCAGCGTTCATTTTGATGATGAGACAGGTAAAAATGTGTTTAAAAATAAAAAATGATAAGAAGCTCATTACGTCATAAGAGCGACTCTGGAATCGGTCAGGGAAAATAACTTTCATTAAAGGGTTAAAGGTGCCTTTTTTAAATTTTTAAGCATTACTTTAGAAATATATATTTTTAAAAGAGACAAACAAAAAAAAGATTTGGGACATTGGGGTTAAGTTGGAGTTAATAGTTCAATACATGAAAGTGTTCATTGAAAACATTCTTCATTTTTCGAGTATTTCTAGGCTATTTCTAGTAAGAAGACCAAAATAAATAATTAAAAAAGAGAAATCATAATGAGGGGAGTGAGTGTTAAGGTTAGTAACTCTCAGGGGGAGTACGACCCCCCCCCCCCCCCCCCCCCCCCCCCCTTCCTGGCCAGGCCTGGGTGGCCTTAATTTATATATCATATATGATATATCCACAGGCTTTAGACCTTAATCTACATCCAACGTGTCCAAAATGGATGTTCTTCCTTAACTTGGCAAAAGTTTGAGCGCTTTTTGAGGGCTTTCGTTATTCAAAGAAGGCTCTCCGGGGCCGGTACGGTGCTGGGTCCAGCCCCTGATGAGGTTTCCGTGTTGTCCGCAGAAGATTTTCGGTGCAGAGGTGCGCCAGGTGCCATTTGGGCATCTCGGCCTCGGAGATGGTGATGCGCGCCCGGGACCTGGTCTACCACCTCAACTGCTTCACGTGCACCACCTGCAGCAAGATGCTGACCACGGGGGACCACTTCGGCATGAAGGACAGCCTGGTGTACTGCCGCCTGCACTTTGAAACCCTCATCCAGGGAGAATACCAGACTCACTTTAACCACGCGGACGTGGTCCCGCACAAAGGCCTGGGCCCGGCCAACACGCTCGGACTATCCTACTTCAACGGGGTGGGGACGGTGCAGAAGGGCCGGCCCAGGAAAAGGAAAAGCCCAGGGCCCGGAGCCGAGCTGGCCGCCTACAACGCAGGTAAGAAAAAAAAACACGTCTGACAAAATGCGCATTTACGTCTGAATCTGTGTGTATGTTCTTTTTTTTTCTTTTTTCCTTGAAATCACAGGCGTCATAAATTAAAAATGCATAAAAAAAGAAAAGAAAAACATGTCATTCATAGATACTTGATGTGCATATATATTTTTTTTCTGTTCTGTAGTCATTTGTAAAAACTAATTATTTTTGGACCAATCATATCGGTGTATTATTTAACTAAACTTAATAATAACTTAATCAAAGTCAATCAAAGTTGTTACAGAATCTCTACACACATATTAAGAATGTCTCAAACTGATTGATTGGCTATAGAAATATTCCAGTTCCTATCATACTTTCTTTAAAGTTGAAAAATAAATTACTTATACTTAAACCTCAACAACTACACTGGAAAGCTTGGGAGAAAATGTGAAGCAAGTTTTTTTTTTTAAAAGAAAAGAAAGAGAGAGAGAGAGAAGTGAATTATGTCAACAGCCAGTAGAGGAAAGTATAAAGGTACACAGTTTCCATAGTTGTTGAAAAAGTTAATTTAATTTCTGTAGCTTCATATCTTGTGTGTGACATAACATTAACATTTATTTCCAAAATAAAATAGGTGCCTTCTGCTTTTTAAATGAAGAAAAAAAAAACTTGCTATGTTCAAAATCACTTAAACTTTTTAATGTCTTTTTATTTTTTTTATTTTTTTGCTCTCTCACCCTCTCTATCAAGTTTTCTTTGGAAGAAAAAAAAGTTTTTTCTCTTTTGTTTTTAGTGTTCTAGCTTTTGCTTTCCCCTCTTTCCACTTGTCAGGCTCCATTCACGTCTACAGGCCCCAGCAACTCTTCCACCTCCCTACCCCAAACACACACACATACACACACACATACACGCGTACACACACAGACACACACACACGCACACATGCATGCTGTCGGAGCCTCTTTGCATTGGGACCTGGCCAAAATGAACGTATACCAGCCAGATCCATGTGATTTCATGAGTTATTCATTTGAAGAGGTAACAAAAAAGATTTAAAACACAAAACAGCAACGATTTCAGATTCATATTGAACTTTTTTTGTTTTGTTCTTAACTGGAAACCACAATTCTCATGATCTGAATAGTGACAGCTGCAAAATGCAATCACAATTAAAGGGACAAGGTTGTTTTTTTTTTTAAATAAATCTTCCAAAAGTACCTCACAGGTTTACCAGTTTAGTTTAGTTTAGTTCCTTGATTATGTTTCTACTTGTTTTCAAACTCCTGAACGATTAACACCCCTGTCTTTCCTGTTATTTTCCTTTTTATTCCCATTTTGAAACGATCACATGTAGAAATCTCTTTAAAAGGCTACTCAAAATCGTTTCATCTATTATTAATGACCGTTTCAATGTGGGTGAGGGAAAAAAACAAAACAAAAACAACTTGCCCGGAAAAGATGACTGTCATTTTAAGAGTGATGAGAGGGAAGAGGCAGTGCGCCCTCTTCTGTTTACAGGCCAAAACGACATCCAAAAAAAACTCCACCTGAGCCACTGGCTGTGTGCTGACCCACAGCAGAGTGGGGTCAATTTAAACTGGTGCTGGACGATGGCTGGACGATCAGGGAAAACCGAGCCACAAGCTGCTATTCTCCGGTTCTGTTTGGTTTCAAACGCTTCCGGCATATGCTTTGGCCAGAAAGCAACATTTGTTTCTGCCTGGTGTGTATGGGCTAATTAAGTGAAGTGTTATTCGGATGGTTTTCGCTCACTTCATATTCATCGTTTGCGGCGTTCTAATATTGAACGCGAACTGTTATGCATGCAGCAACACCTAGAGTTATGCCAAGAAAAATTTGAGCAGACAGGGACAAGATACGTGTGTGGCGCAGTGTGGATTTGTGTGCGTGTGTGTGTGTGTGTGTGTGTGTGTGTTTTGCTGAGGCCAGGCTAATACCTCGTCCCCTGACAGATAGGCAGGGATTGATACAGACTGCAGCTGGAAGAAACATCTGTATGGTCACAGTTGTTCTTTTTTAATGATTTGATGGATTGATTTATTCATTAAACATGTTACTATTTAATAGATGGCCGATAAAACCACCCAATACAATGTAGCATCTAATCTTATCTTCTCTCATTCAGAACTTTTCTACCTACTGAGCTCGTCTTGTTTATAATTTTTATTGAGTTATACCTTCATAGTCATAGTTTTATGTTTTTACTTGAGAAAATGCTAATTGATTACATTCGAATCTTTAAAAAAATGGTTGACGCCTTGCTTTTTTCAAGGCTCTAAACACCAAAACGATTGAACTGGGGTCACATAGATTTCAAGATCTGAAATGATGACGAAGGTGGTGATGATGACGCTTGATATCAGACACATTGGAAATAACTTTTGCATCACAGGAGTTGAATAAGAACATCACAGACAATAGCGATTTGAAATAAAACGACTTAAGGAAAACGCATTCCAGTCAAAAAACACAATACCTGACAATAACATTGAACCTGAAAATGCATTTTAATTTAAGATCTGAACTCCTTTTATCAGAATTGTAATGATCTTGTGTTAAAAGTATTGTTTTGGTCCACTGAGAAATCAAACAGTTATTGAGAATAGAAACAGACTTGATGGTCAGTTATGACATAAGATTGAAAAGGTAGAAAAAAGAGGAATGAAAATCTGCTTTATGGGATTCAAATGATGACGAATGCCAGGTTTATTTGATTTTTTTAACCTTCCGCTTTTTGCTTTTGTCGCCGGTAGCGCTGAGCTGTAACGAGAACGACGGCGAGTCCATGGACCGGGACTCCCAGTACAGCTCCAGTCAGAAGACCAAACGCATGCGGACCTCCTTCAAGCACCACCAGTTGCGGACGATGAAGTCTTACTTCGCCATTAACCACAACCCGGACGCCAAGGACCTCAAGCAGCTGGCCCAGAAGACCGGCCTCACCAAGCGGGTCCTACAGGTAAACACAAATACCAAAGCAACACATCCCTGTTTCATAATCCAAGTGGAAAAGGACAGGAAAAGTTCAAGGTTTTTCACTTGTTCCCAAAACAAATGAGGATGTTCGCAATTATAGAATATGTGAGATTTTCCTGAAGAAAACCAAAACGGATCGGTCACTTTAATTTAAGTTTTCAGCCCAATTAAATCACAGATTGATGCTCAGATTTCATTCTTTCATTTCAAATAGATCATTCAAAGACAGTTGTAGTGAAAATAAAGTATTAAAACTGGAGTTATGAAAAAGATGATTATTTGGTTATGTACACTGCAATGCAAAACTGCCTGAAAACTGATAACTGAAAGAAAAAAGCCTATATGTTATGTATTTTTTTACTATTATGTGATATCACGATGATGAATATGGGATTAAAAACAAAAACACTCCTTAAACACGTGCAAATGCTGCATAAAAGGTTCTATCAGAGACAACAGCAAATTATCCAGGGTACTAAGAAGGACAAAAAAGAGAGAAAAAAGATTTCCGAACAAATCTTTTTTCAGAAAAATGAAAAAAATAAAACTTTAATTAATGCTTGTGGGAAACAAAGCAAGTCGTTTTGCTTTGATGAGTTTGAATTTTCATGCCTGTTATTCCAGCTGAAGTGCCTCTCGTGCCATTCGTTTTCCCAGGGCTCCGTCATAACTCGGTCTGGAACATGCTCCAACACTCAAAACGTAGTCTCGCTCGCTCTGCAAATCACACAGGGGGCTTTTTAACTTTCTTTTCCTACTAAAAGGAAGAAAGCGTATCAGAGGAATGACTGTGAATGATTGTCAGAGATGCTGAGAATCAGTATTCTGGTTCAAACATTTCTCCTCCTCCCCCTCTGAAACAGATTCCTAGAGTACTCAGAACAATCAGAAGAAAAACATTACGTTTTTTGCAAACACAAGACTTAATGACTTGAATCAGTACTCGCTTTGCTTCCTATAAGGTAAAACCACCTATTTTCATATATATAGATGTATAAATATGAAAACACAGGCTTTATTTATTTTTCTGCGACTATTTCTTATTACAGCCATTGAAAAATAGTTTTTCACATATCAGAAAAACACCACGGCCTTGTACGTTTAAGCATGCCCATATACTCAAATCCAATAAGAATGTTTGCAAAACAGTCTTTAAAAAGACAAGAAAGAAGAAGATTCTTACTTCTGGCTGATCTAAAGATAAATGGAGGCAGAGAAAACTTGCCAATACAATAAAGACTACCAATAATTCGACAATATCAAGGTCCATATGTTGGTTATTGAATATATTTTGGCCACTTTACTTCATGTGTGCGAGTGCAAATGGACGACAAAGATCTATCTTGTTGGTCAAAGTTGTGTCTATTTTTATTTGAGGAAAGATGGAATTGATCATATTCTTGACATATATATTAATTCTGTACTCTTGAAGTAGTAAACAAATATTCAGAGCATTAACAATTCATATATATATATTTTAATCAGAGCAATATCAGTAATGTTTAGAGGTTGAGTTGTTTTTTGATCTGTTTCATTCTCTGGTTCCTGACACAGTTCCTGGTTCAGTTCTTTTTCTCCGAAATGCTCCATTCTACTCACCAGTTTTTAAGGTTTTCTGATTTGTGCTCATTGTAATGTTGATTTACAAGGCTTGTGTTACTCTAAAAAAACACTGAGGATGTGTGACAAAAGATGCATTCAGGAAGACAAAACACCTAAAAGAAGCTAAATGGTCTTGAAGGTGGGGTGATGATCCTTTGTGGGTTCTCTGTATTTGTTGATACCATTAGTTTTTTGCAGACTTATTAAGAAGCAGAAAACAATTCTGAAATTAGTACTATTCTCCATCATGTCTGCCACAAGAGATGTAGAAGTTTTTACCATTTACACAATGCAGTAGTGCCTTTAAGAAAGAAGATGTTAAGCATTTGAACAAACGTCTGATGAAGGTTTTTGTTTCTGGAGTTGTATTTTTTTATTTTTTTTAACTAAACAACACAAGGCAAACAATTTTGTGACACCTAAATGCTTTTTCCCAGCCTTTCAGCAGGCCTAGGCCTCCATTCATTGTACTACAGATTCATACTTTTGCTCAAAGAAGTAGAATAATCAGCCTTGGTTACATTATAATCCATCATTGCTTTTCGTGGTACTTTACATTCCTTTTCAAAAACGTTAAAATCGTAGCAGATTTCAGTTAAATCGAGGTTTCAGTGAAGAAGAAAAATCAAATGGGAAAAATTTACAATGATTTATAGGTACATTATGTGGATGTAACTGAGTGGAATTGAGTAAAAGATGTAGTTACTAATCTCTAGTTGCTATTAGCCATGTAAGTTTTGCAGTTACTCATTGTTTTTAAAAACTCAATGAAAAGGCCAAAAAGATCAAGTTAAGATGTGGAGTTGATAATTCCTTCATTGAAAATTAGATGACATTTCACATGTAATATGTAATATTATATGTAGTGCATGGAGATATTTACCATTTACAGTGTTTTGCTTCACCTGAGGACCATTCAGCTTTAGTCAAAGCTGATTTGGAGGTTTAAAAAGTTGAAAAAATGGTTAAAACATGCACAGTGGAGTATATATATCAGATCAGTTCAGTTTCAGTGACTCATTTTAAAATGATTTCACCTTAAGTTCATTCCGTGAGATCAATTTTTTCTGTTTACAATTGACAATTTGATGTATTGTGGAATTAATGAACTCTGAACATTGTGTGTATGCTTTAGGTCTGGTTCCAAAATGCCCGCGCCAAGTTCAGGAGGAACCTGCTCCGGCAGGAGAGCGGCGGGGTGGACAAGGCGTCGGACGGCTCCACGCTGCCGGGCGGGACCCCCTCGGGCCCGGCCTCGGAGATCTCCAACGCGTCCATGAGCCCGTCCAGCACCCCCACCACCCTCACGGACTTGACCAACCCCACCATGCCCACCGTCACCTCCGTGCTCACCTCAGTGCCCGGCGGGATGGACGTCCACGAGTGCCGGAGCCCGTCACAGACCACGCTGACCAGCCTCTTCTGATGGTCGGAGCGCTGACCCCCCCCCCCCACCCCCATCCCCACACACACATAAACACTTAAACACACACAGACGCTATTACACACACACACATTTTCACTTTACCCATACCGAATCCTAAACTGAGCACTGTTTCAAAACCTCTGAACTTAAAAGAAACGAGACAACGAGAAGGAAATAAATTAAATCTGAGTATATGGGAGACTATTTGCATAGCGAGGCGGCTGTGCCTTACAGAAAGAAAACCGTTGTTATTTTGATGTTGTCTTGTCGAGAACTGAAGAGATTTTCGATTTGCGTTTTTTTTTCAATGTTTACAGAGAGAGACTGCAGAGAGGAGAAAAAAAACTGCTTAATTTTTTGGAGAAATCTTTTCTTTTTTTTCTTTTTTTCCTGCACAGTATTTATGTTGTTGTACAAGAGTCACTGTTAGAAGGATTGTAAATTTTCTTTTTTTTTTTTTCTTTTTTTTTGGGGAAATCTGAGATTAAACACAGGTTACAATATTCTATGACTGCCACGTGCCTTCCGATCCATTTCTGCTCTTCACTTGGAGATCAAATGTGAATGATTTGGCTCAGAGGAAGGGTAAACAACCCTTTTTTGCTCCTGTGCGTGTTGTGTGCGTGCGTTTCTGTGTGTGTGTGGGTCATTTCACTTCCTCTTTTACATTGTGTGTGTACAAATATGTGCTGATATGACATTTTCTGTGCTTCAGTTTTAAAAAAAAAAAGAAAGGAAGAGACTCGTTATTCAGCCTGCTTGTAGAATTATGTCAGAAAATTGTCAACTATATGAGGTTCCCATATTAAAAAACCTGTACTCTAGTTTTTAGGTGGATTTACTATTCAGAAAAGAGTTCCAAAACTATTCAAATCGTAGCACTTTGGCCTACTCAGATTGATTCTAAAGTTCTTCTATTTGAGTCTTTTAACAGCTTATTATATATATTCCCAGAGTCGGGCTTATAACCACACAAGTACAACATTAAATTTCAATAAGTCATCATTTTTTTCTGGCAAAGTCAAGGAAAGTACCAATGTAACAACCTTATTCAAAGAAAAGCTAATTTGGTGCGACTTAATTTCTCAGTTCTTTGAGGATAAAGTAAATATTACACTTCCATTTTATTAAAAAGAACCTTTCATTAGCAGTGGGATCATCTCTTGATTTTATTTATTTTTTCACGTTGGGTTAAACTGACTTGTTTGGATGTATGAAACACATGCTGTGAATGGAAGGAGAGCTTGTGATGAAGCATAAAGATCAGCCCCCATCTGGTGTAACACATCTTTTTTCATGTTGTGTCACTTCTGGGTTTTCTTAGGGGTGAAATACTATTATATCTGTGTCTCTCAGAAAATACATAGAGCACCAATTATAACATTTATGTTTTGGAAGAGAATTGAGCCTTCAGAGTCTACCAAAGGTCTTTCAGTTTGGCCATTTGGCCGAAACGTAGATTTACTAATGTGCTTGGAGTTGGTAGGAGATTCTCGACATATCAGAGATGGAACATTTTGTCACGATGTCAACAGAAAAAATGAAAAAAATGAAGGGAGATTTATTTCCTTCTGACTTGAGTTCTGGTAGTTTGCAACTGTAAAAAAAAAACGGCGACAAGAAATGGATATAGTTCATTCTCTTTAAGGCTGACAGCACAGATACAGATAGGAAATTATGATAAATTACAAAGGTTTTAGGCTAGAAATGAAATTTTGCCTCCTACTTTTCACTCAAACAGGATTTGCACAGTACAAAGTGAAGCTGATATTTTCAAAAGCTGCATTTAAGTTGAATGTTGTGTAACGCATTTCTGACAAATTTCTGTTTAGATCAACATTCTATTTAGATTTTAAACTTAAATGTATTTTGTAGGAGGCTGAGAAGTGAACCAACAACTTGATTTTGGTCCTAGATCAACATCTTTAAATGTTAATATCAGGGATCTTGATAAATATTAAGTGAAGCTTGTTGAGTTAACTGTATTTTCATCTTTGTAAACGCAAACTTGATCAGGTTTAATTCAAATTCAATATACCATAGCAAGAAGCAAGTGTATCTGTATGCTTGTTCTGCTTATTTCATATAATTTTTCTCGAATGTGGCACTAAAAAAACAACAAAAAAGGCAACAACTTTTAGTTATCTAAATGAGGATCTGGGCCAAAAGCTTAAAGTGATAGTGGCTGGCAGCGTCCCTGAAGGCAACATCACCCAGACAAATAATAGTTTTCATAAACTGCTCCGTTCTAGCTAATTGTGCAGAAATAGTGTATCTCACAAAAGTCGACGTGCTTTTTTCCACAATTTCCTGAATTTGTCAGTCAATTTCAAAATAAAGGTTAAACAGGGAGATGGAGGTGAGGTTTGGGATGGATGCACAGGTCTGGGGAAAACAGCAGCCATTACACTTTGTGAGCAAAAACATGAAGTCTGAAAAACAGAAGTGCAAAATTCCAAATGTGTTTCCATACCACAGAACAAGAGAGGAGTCCCTTGGAGCATTCAGCCATGATAATTATCCCTGCGTTGGTGTAAAAAGTTTGAAGACATGAGCACGGATTAAACAGCCTAAAAGCGACAAAACATGCTATCTATCGATTCCATTGTCCAGAAAAATGACCACATTTTGGGCATTCTGCCCGCAAAACTTTATAATGGTGCATGTGAGTGTGTCTGTGTATGTGTGTGTGGGTAGGAACCATTATATATGCAAATCAATCATAGGGATGACTTGGCCAAAATTGTTTGATTCCATATTTTAGGGCATAACATGAGGACAAAACACACACCGGGCTATAAATTCAAAGTGTTGGAATCAAGACTTTTTTCACAGCCTGCCTTCTATTAACGCATGATATGGATTTTATGCAATAATCACAAGGTAAGGAAGAGCCAGAGTCTTAAGTGAACTTTTACTGTGTGTTAAAAGATGCTTGAATTTCTTTTCCTAGTAATCGTCATTCTAAACTAAAATAAACTGCATTAAACATATGATTCAAAATTCAGCCCATCTGAAAATCGACGTAAAAGCAAACTTTGGTCATTCTTATTCACAATTGGAAAATCATTCGCTGCAAATCTCTTTTTCGTACTAACAATTTGTGACATCTTTTAAGATATCATAAGCTCAATTTGTCATAAGGTGTCCAAAAACACACATTTATCAATCCATTCACTTTCTGTCCAAACAACACAGAAATTAACATCCATAGCAAATATAAATTGCCTTATATCTGTTATGGGAAGTTATACTTATTTTCTGGTAAATTTTGCAGGTTGAATTATTTATTTGTCTGCTTACTGGTCATCTCAGTGTTAAATATAAAGTCCTGTACTTTTATCTAATATGCTTAAGTCATATGGATAAAATCCAATAGAAAATCCAATAGATAAAGCTTATATATTACTTATATATAGCTCAAGAAAGCCTCATTCTTCCTTTTTCTAAATGTTATGTGTGGCGAAATGGTTGTGGTATGACAAACGGTTTGCCTTAGAGGTGGAGAACTGACATTTGAAGACGAACAACATCAATCATTTGGATTTTGGGCCACTCAATATTTAACACGTCCTTCAAAAAAATGTCCGGTTCTTTTTGGAATTAATTTATTCTTTATACAGCTTTAAGCCAACTAACCAACCACTAGACCACCCAATACCAATGAAGTATTTCTTCATGTGACTACAAGTGACTATATGCTTTTTTTCTTCTTTTTTTTGGTGTACTTCTTCAAGAAAACTTCACCGTTTGAATGTTTTAAACTTTATCTAATTTTAAGGTTGTAGCAAGGCTGGAGCCCTTTCCAGCATCCATTAGCTGAGAGGATGGGGTGTCCACTGGACAGTCCATCACAGGAGAAACAAGGCTCCCTTCTGGGCTCAAATTAGTTTTGCCAACTTACGCTTAGCGTGTCAACTTTCTGTTTACAGGTGGGTGGTTACCTTTTCAAAACTTTTCTCACACAAACTGGAGCAACTGTCCCAAAATCATAATGGGGCTTATATGGCAATTGGCTGGGGTGGAAGAAAACTTTAACACATGCAAGGGCTCTACACTCCAACAGGAAACTGTTTTTGTCTTTTATTATACCCTCAGTATGACTGCTGTTGAAATTTGGATAGCATACTACATGTTGAGAAATGTATGTGATGTTTAATCCTACCCAGACATGAATGAATAATCAGAACCTTAATGTTCAAAATAGGAAATATTGAAATAAGTTGTGCATTTATCTGCTGAATAATATTAATTACTCTTCTGGAAATATGAAGGCAAACTTTATTCAAATAGGTGAAAGCAGCCTTTTTCACCACAATTCATGTTTATGTTGCTATTTCAAAGCCACAAGTGGATTATTCTGATATTAGAAACTAATAAGTTAGATTTATCCTGTTTTGTCAGAAGATTTATTTTTGTTTTCTCCAAATAATAATATAAAGTTACCTGTTACGCAAGAAAATTACACTGGTTTCAAGTGAATCCTGAGCAACTAAATCTTATTTTTTATATTAAAAGAATAATAATATAGTATTCAGTATAGGTTTCCATATAAAGAAAATAGTTTAATCGACTCAAATATGTCTTCAGTCAGAAGCTGCTGTTAAGACTGGAAAACAATAATAACTAAGAAACACTAGATGAATATTTCACTGCATTTTCTCGAGAAACTTGCTTTACAATCTCTAAAAAACAACATGTGGTTGTGTGTCATCACGACAGAATTATCCCAGTTACAGGGAGTGGATCACATAATCAGCCCATTACCATTAAATATTCATAATCTCCTCCTAATCAGGGGTTAATTGTCTCATGCTCTTGAGGTGGAATCCAAGCATGACACCTCCTAATGTGTGTAAGAAATATCTGCCATCTGACTCAGTCTATTTAATTTTTAAATAAGTACATTAACCTTGTAAACATTGTAAAAAAAACATAATATTCATATGATCATTTTCAGGCAGGCAAACACTAGTTTTTTAAGCTAATTTATAGAAAATGAATGCAGTGTGTCCAGTAAAGTTCTGGAAGAGTCCGTTAAAGTTGACATTAACCAAATAACAGCAATTGTGGTTGTCGTCAATGCATTTCCATGTGTTTGGCCTGGATAAATACAACTTTCCAAGGAGCAGTCCTCTCTGCGATCTGTTTTATTCGCATTG